ACACACACACACACACACACACACACACACACACACACACACACACACACACACACACCACACACGGCTGCAGGCTGATGTCGTGTTTCGGGCGTGGACACAAAACATTAAACTCATCGTTCTGCTGGATGATTAAAAAACGGATTAATTTGTGATAATAACGAGAAAACACAACGAGACAGTGTCAGACATGATCACACACACGCTGACACACACACGCTGACACACACACACGCTGACACACACACTCAGTGGAATAATTAAGAGGATAATAAGGCAGCGTTTAGCGTCGAGAGCTTCCTCCTGAGAGCACACACACATTTAAACACACACACTGAAATCTGATCTCATCTTGTTTCCATCAACTTCTTCTTCTGTGGTTTCCCCTGACGCTCCTCTTCTTCTTCTCTAATAAAGGTAATTAATTAAAACTTTACTGTCTCAGATTTATTCAGAGATATGTATTGCTGCACTGCCCCCTGCAGGACAAACACAGCAATGACAGCTGATTTATTCCCTCGGTGAACTTTGACCTGATGAGTTCATGGTCTCAATCTTTAGTCATCATTTAGGAAATTAAAGTTGTGATGCTTTGATAAGAACAGAGGACCATTCCTTCAGAATAAAAGCTTTTGGTAGCGTCTGAGTTCTATCTTCCTGTTTCAATCTCAAATAAAAACATCCTCCTCACCTCGTCTCCTTCCTCCTCCTCCTCACCTCGCCTCCTCCTCCTCACCTAGCCTCCTTCATCCTCTCTGTTCTCCTCACCTCGTCTCCTTCCCCCTCCTCACCTTGTCTCCTCCCCCTCCTCACCTCGTCTCGTCTCCTCCTCCTCCTCCTCCTCCTCCTCGTCTCCTTCCTCCTTCTCCTCCTCACCTCGTCTCCTTCCTCCTCCCCCTCCTCCTCACCTGGTCTCCTTCCTCCTCCTCCTCCTCAACTCGTCTAGTTCCTCCTCCCCTTACTCCTCCTCCTCATCCTCACCTCGTCTCCTCCTCCTCCCCCTCCTCACCTCGCCTCCTCCTCCCTTACCTAGTCTCCTTCATCCTCTCTTCCTCTTCATCTCCTCACCTCGTCTCCTTTCTCCTCCTCCTCACCTTGTCTCCTTCCTCCTCCCCTTACTCCTCCTCCTCCTCCTCCTCCTCCTCATCCTCACCTCGTCTCCTCCTCCTTCTCCTAGCCTTGTCACCTTCCTCATCTCCTTCCTCCTCTAATGTCTGAGTCCTTTATTATTAACCTCGGCTCCTTCCTTGTCTCTCTCGCTGAGATAAAACTTAATTGCTGTTCGGTCGGAGCTAAATATCTGAGCGGGTCCATTTCATTCTTAATTGATGTGTGATTAAGAGCGGCCGAATGAGTCCGGCCGGGGCGTGCGTGTGCGGGGGGGGGGAATGTGACCTTCCCAGAGGACCGGACTCGACCGTCCTGACCACAGTGAGGTGACTCGCTCTCTTACCGTCCTGGAAGACTCGCTCCACGTTGAGGCCGTAGGTGGCGCAGGTCTCGTAGTAGGTGCAGCGTTTGAGGTCGTTGGAGAGTTTTCTGGCCCGGCTGTCGTCGATCACTCGAGGGTTAGCGGAGCTGATGGCGTCTGAAGGGGAGACGGGAGAACAGAAAGTTAAAATGTGATGCATGAAGATGTTTATCAGCCTTTAAAATCATCTCAGACGTTTGAGTTTCTCTTTGCAGCTCCTTAAATCTGAACATTTCCTGCTTTCTCTCCTCGTCTCCCACAGTGTGATAAAGATGGCTGAGATGTGGACATGTAAGGGCAGCGTTTAAACTCCTGCAAACACTGAACCACATTGTTTTTAAAACATACAATAAGTGAAATAAATCATAAGAATAATGAACAGGAAGCCCCGATAGGTGAAGAAAAACTGGAACATTCTGGGTTTTGTTTTTCTGTATCTGATTCGCTCGTCCTGGTTCAAAGAGGAAGAAATAGAAAAGGAAACATGGGTTGGTTGTTTTGGGGAAGAACCTGCATACTGAGGTGATGCTTTGGCGCCCCCTGCTGATAATAATCGGTACCTCCCTCAGTCTGGTCTGCAGGGAGGTTAAAGGCTGAGGCAGAAACACGGTGAACATTGAAGCTTTGTCTGCCTCCTTCTTTTGTTTTTCTGCATATGTCGCGGTTTTACTTCTTAATGATGTAAACTTCGAGAAGACCAAAGACAGGAAAGGACATAAAACCCTGACTGAGATCGATCTGGACTTCCTGTTGATTATTTTGACACAAACATGAATGTCAGTGTCTACTTAAATATGACTAAGCTTTGAATCATACTTTAAATAAGTTGAGGTGTTCACAGAAACACAAATCACTGCAGAGGAAAAACAGTCGAGGGAACGATTCTAACTGTAATGACATAAAGACACCACAAGAGGGTAGCAACACATCAGAGAAGGAGTTAGAGTTAAAGCAGAAGGAAGAGTGAGTGAGTGAGTGAGTGAGTGAGTGAGTGAGTGAGTGAGTGTGTGTGTGTGTGTGTGTCGGACCTTGCGTGCCGACCAGCACCAGCGGCAGGTCGGTGGCGTTCCTGAAGTTGGCGAGGCGGCTGAAATAGTGATAGACGGTCTGAAAACTGATCTCATCCTCCAGACTGAAGACGAAGATCACGGCGTCCACCCACAGAGCAAACTGCACACAGACAGGTTTGAATAAACTTTATTTAAAAACATTCTGATCACAAGAGACACAAAGAAAAGTTTTTGATTTAGAAAAAAGGAACCGAGACTTTTTGTGATAAAAACAGAGAGACAGAGGGCTGATGCTGTAGGGAGGGAGGGAGGGAGGGTGAGACAAGGAGGGAGGGAGAGACAGGGAGGGAGGGAGGGAGAGAGGGTGAGACAAGGAGGGAGGGATGGAGAGAGGGAGGGTGAGACAAGGAGGGAGAGATGGTGAGACAAGGAGGGAGGGAGGAAGGTAGAGTGAGACAGGGAGGGAGGGAGGGTGAGACAAGGAGGGAGGGAGGGAGGTAGAGTGAGACAGGGAGGGAGGGAGGGAGGGAGGGAGAGACAGGGAGGGAGGTAGAGTGAGACAAGGAGGGAGGGAGGGAGAGAGGGTGAGACAGGGAGGGAGGTAGAGTGAGACAAGGAGGGAGGGAGGGAGAGAGGGTGAGACAAGGAGGGGGACACCATGAGATATAGAGGGGGGGATGTAGAGATGGAGGAGACACAGAGGGAGGGAGCAAGGGTGAGACAGGGAGGGAGGGTGAGACAGGGAGGGAGGGTGAGACAGGGAGGGAGGGTGAGGGAGAGAAGTGAGGAGCAGAAAGAAAACAAGTAAATTATTAATAAATCGTCGAGCTTTCTGTCTAGACAAACCAACATTAAAAAAACTCCACGTGGTCATCGTGCAGGTCGCTCACATGGAAATAAAAAACGTGACCCACTTTCATCCGGGACTTAATCCAGATGTTCAGCACCAGAAATCACCACCTTTAAAAAAAATCACTTTCTGCAGTTTAAAGTGTGAGGTTGTGTGCAGCTGGTGCAGTTCTCACCTGAGCCTCCGGGGGGCCTCCTTCATCTCTGATGAGCAGCAGGTGACTCTGACCGTCCACCACGATCTCCTTCTTAAAGCGACCTCCTGAGAGAAGACGAGACAGAGACGGTAAAGAGGCTGTGACGGAGCAGGACGGGATCTACACGAGGAGACGAGGAGCTGATCGATGATGATTCAGTGATCGATTATCTGATTGATTAGTGATGTCTGATCGATGAGGATTACTGAGGAACAAAATCTTCCTGATGGTCTCCTGGGGCTGAATGTGAGGAATGAAGCTCTGCAGGTGAACACACACCTTCAGCATGACGTGTGTGTGTGTGTGTGTGTGTGTGTGTACATTAGTTTTTTTCTGTTTGAAACATAGTCTGTAAGGTTTGAACTCTCGTCTGAGCTCCAGCACAGAGAGTCATTTTCTGTCTTTGTGGGAACTAGCCGAGGGTTTACAGGAAGTGGGAGAATCTAAAAATGGCGTGCAGACGTTATTTTTGTCCCCGCTGATCTGCGAGCACCGAGGACGAGTGTGAGCGCTCACAGAGCTGCAGCAGAGCACGAGGAGATCGTCTCTGCAGCTACGACCGACCCACTGACCGCCTCCACTACACAGGAGAGTAATGATACAGGGGATGTTTACAGTGGTGAGACACACACTCACTCACTCTCACACACACACACACACACACACACACACACACGGATGTTTTTCTCATAGATGTAAAAATAAAGACATAAATCATTCCGAGCAGTAGTGAGGGACTTTCTGTGTTCGGCCAATCACCACCTGAAGAATTTCTCTCCATTTTCCAGAGTTCCTCATTTTTTAAAACCCTGAAACAGCGTGTGTGTGTGTGTGTGTGTGTGTGTGTGTGTGTGTGTGTGTCCTGAGGACGTGATGCTGCAGTAAGCAGATGGCGGTGTTGCTGCTGACTCAGCAGAGTGTGTGTTTATTTATATTCACATTCAGAGGCTACGTCTACTCCGGATGAACATGAGGAGGGATGGAATAATGAGTGAACAACAATATAATCATGGCCGTAAACAAACTAGAGTCTAAGAGGGCGGAGCTACTGTGAATGTTCAGCGGTGAACGGAGATCAGCTCCGAGGTCGTTTGGTAGCAGCAGGTATGAAAGAGATCTAAAAACTCTTACTAACATCCAAATAATCAGTGAGTATGTTCTTCTTCTTCTCTCTAGTTCTTGACTAAAACAGCTTTTATACACAAGGGGAGGAGCCGGCCGTCCCGTCCATGTAAACACGGCTCTGACAACAACACAGCCAGCGGGACTCGAGCTTCTCCCTCATTGTAGACAGTCATGACTCAGAGACACATTTACACAGGACAGACTGGATTATGATATATTTATGTGGAACATGTCGCTCATTCTGACTTTTACATCCTGCAGAGACTTGTGACAAACTTTCACCAGCTGCTGCCAAACATCGCTCGTGATGCTGAGAGGAGACGCTGAACCTGAGCTGTCAGAATCAAAGAGGGCGAAGGATCGATGATGGAGGGATGATGAAAGGGAGAGGAAGAGAGCGAGGGGATAGTTACCTGCATCCACGTCAGCTAGATTACAAGAGCAGCCCAGAAAGAAAAACAAACAGAGAGGAAACAAAAAGATGCAGCCAAGGTTAATCCATGCAGAGTCAAACCCAGCAGCACCCACAGAGCGCACGCCACACAGACGCACAAACATGACATTGAAAAGGAGAGAGAGAGACAGAGAGAGAGAGAAAGAGAGAGAGAGAGAGATAGAGAGGGAGAGGTAGAGAGAGAGAGAGAGATAGAGAGGGAGAGGGAGAGAGAGAGAGAGAGAGAGGGAGAGGGAGAGAGAGATAGAGAGGGAGAGGGAGAGAGGGAGAGAGAGGGAGAGAGAGAGAGGGGGAGAGAGAGAGGAGAGAGAGAGAGAGAGGAGAGAGACAGAGAGAGAGAGAGAGAGAGACAGAGAGCGAGACAGAGAGAGAGAGAGAGAGAGGGAGACAGAGAGAGAGGGAGAGAGAGGGAGAGAGAGACAGCAGAGAGAGGGAGAGAGAGAGAGGGAGAGAGAGACAGCAGAGAGAGGGAGAGAGAGAGGAGAGAGAGAGAGAGCGAGGGAGAGAGAGAGAGAGGGAGAGGGAGGGAGAGACAGCAGAGAGAGAGAGAGAGAGAGAGAGAGCAAGGGAGAGAGAGAGAGAAGGAGAGGGAGAGGGAGCGAGGGAGAGAGAGAGAGAGAGAGAGAGAGAGGGAGAGAGAGAGCGAGGGAGAGGGAGAGAGAGAGAGAGAGAGAGAGAGAGGGAGAGAGAGAGCGAGGGAGAGAGAGAGAGACAGCAGAGATTTATGAGGCTGATGAGAATAGAAGAGAACAACACAGAGTTTATCTGCAGGTCAGCTGGAGGTCAAAGCACAAAAACGTGAGAATTAAAAAAAGTCCTGCAGAAGAAGAAAAGCAGAGATTTACATGATCAAGGCTGGAGCTGTTCACAGAGTTTCACTGACAGTTTCATAATGGGAAACAAACACAGAAGAAGAAGAAGAAGAGGAGGAGGCTGGTGTGTTTTCAGAGAGGCTCGTCTTTATTCTCATCCATGTGATGATTTATTGGAGGATATTTAGACGCCTCATGTCCCTAAAATCTGTTGAACTTAAAGGTGTAATAAGTTACGACGCTCAACCTGCTATGCTCTATATTTTATTCTTCTGGCTCCTGAGCTGATGTCATGGTAGAATGTCAAACGTTTGCAGAAGATGTCCCTTAACGGACAGATTAGAGCGAGAGTGACAGCGTCAGTGTTCAATGACCTGCTGCACGCTAACAACACAGGGAGAGAGATGCATGAGATTGTGTGATGTGTGCAGAACGTGCAGAAGAAGAATCTTTTACATTTGGGACCAGAGCTTTGGTTTCAGGTTGGGACCTGAACGCCTCATAAACATAAACGTTTCTGTAACAGCTGTTTCTAATGATCGTCTTCCTCGTCTGCCTGTTAATGTGTTTTAGACAATCAGAGGTCGGCGCTCCACTTTCCCACATTTCTTGTTATAATCAGTGTGTAGATTGTGTGAGCAGCAGCTCCACACGCTCAGTCAGCAGCGTTCGTTCTGTGGCTGCGGGTGATTTCCCAACCCAAACCTCCGTTCTCTTTTAATGGATTCCATGTGCTGCTGCTGCTCCGACACTCGGCTGTCCCTGAACGCAGCACAGAGAGGAGTGTGACCTCAGAGGACACGGGGTGAGTTTGTGTCGTTGTTCTGTGCAGCTTGTTCGGCCTCGGACTGAAAGACGGGAACAGTTCAGCAGCGTCAGCGTAGATTTGTGGGTTTTGTAGTTTTTGTAGTTTTTGTAGTTTTCAGCCTCTCTCTGCTCATTAACACGACCTGATGTGAGTCGCTCGTCTGCAGCGAGGCTCCAGTCTGCAGACTAAGAATAGTTTTTTTTTTTTGGTTTGTGGCTTTGTGGCGCTGCGGTCGCTCCGCCACTCGCAAGCCACCGACTTTTTCTCCCAATCAATGGTCCTGGGAATCCAGGCTGCTCGTATTTTTAGATCCCAGGAATTTCAAAACAACACATCAGCTTCCCCGCGCCTCCTCCCTGAAGCCGCTTTGATTTCTCTACGCTTATGCAACCATTTCAAAGAGGAGGTTTTTTTAGTTGGAGTTGATTGGCTGCGTCCCTGACGGCTGATGGAGCCAAGTCAACACATCAAAGATTTCTGGGAGCCGTTGTTTAGGGCTGGCTCAGCTTCGGTATGTGGAGCTGCAGAAAAGCCGTGTCGTGTTGCTTTTGGCAGAGCCGAGGTGTAATTACGGGCGAGCGGTGGAAACATGGCCGCCGGGCGTCCAGCATTGGACGCTGCAGGCCGCAGAGAGCATTTTAAGACGAGGTACGTCACCCAGGAGGAAGATGTTTTAAACCCTCTCCTCTGGGATTTCCTGTCACCTCAAACTGTTTGGATCTGTGTGTGTGCAGCTTTCTGCAGAATCAAACCCAGCAGAGACTTTTAATCTGTGATAAACTCTCTGACGCTTTCTTAATCTCAGATTTAAAAACTGTTCTGTGCTCACTAACTCTCCCCCCGCCTGTGAACTTCAGAGGCCTCGTTTCTCCGCTGAGGGACCCAGAGCTAAAACGGTTTGTGGGCTGGTAGGTTTGTGGGTCCCTGCTCAAAGTTTTCACCCTAAATAAACTCTGATTGAAGGTTTTCAGAGCTTTAAACACACTGAAAGGTCAAGAAAGGTTAATAAGCTGCAAACAGGCAGACAAAGTGATTCTCCTGGAGCTGGACGTTCTTTTCTCAGTTATCGTCCTTTTTCAGGAGGGATGCATTAATAGAACTGAGCTGTTAAAGCATCGATAGTCACTCTTCTGTAGCTTTCAGATTCTCTTTCCAAGCTTCTACTTTCAGTGTTTTAATCCCTTTAAAGCTGCGTGTGTTTTAGGATATCATTTCAGATGTTTTAGTGTCAAAGTCTGCACAGAAAAATGGATTTAAATCCTCTTTACTGCTAAACATCAGTGCGGGAAGTGTCAGCTTTCATGCATGATTTAATACCTCAAAAAATATCTGGAATAAGGTTTTCAGATTTTCATTGATTGCACCTCAAAACACAACCGATCTGAACTAGAGCATCGAGTTCTGCTGACGCTGGCGTCTTTACCCAGCATGCAAAGTGATCAGTGTTTAAAAAAAAAAAACACTGTCACACTTCAATCATCAGACTAACCCCGGGTCCACTCTCTCCTGATATTTGAGGAGTTTGAGTGCGTGCGTGCGTGCAGCCTCCATGAGGAGCGTCTTCGTCCTCTTGAGAGGAAGAAGCTGAAGCACTGAAATATTAAAGCGACATGAGGTTGGGTGTAAGTGGGACTGTGCCTGGAGAGGATGGAGGGGCAGCAGCCTGAATATTGGATGAGCAGTATGAGCGTCTCTGCAGGGCGAGGAGCAGAGAGTCTGCAGGAAACACATCTTTATTTGTTCACAGGATCAAAGATGGAGGAGGAGGGGAGAGGAGGAGAGGAGAGGAGAGGAGAGGACACCAGAGGAGAGGAGAGGAGAGGAGAGGAGAGGAGAGGAGAGGACACCAGAGGAGAGGAGAGGAGAGGAGGAGAGGAGAGGAGAGGAGAGGAGAGGAGAGGAGAGGAGGCGGTCAGAAAGGAGTCTGTGAAACTGTGAACCCGATCCAGCCTGATCTCAGAAAAAGAGAAACACAGAATGATAAAAATCGCCTTCTTACCTTCAGGTGACTCCTCCTGGACGTACGTTCCCGTCAGGTATCTGTGCACCAGCGCCGACTTACCACTGGCCAGATTACCCACAATGCCCTGGGGGAGGAGTCAATGTAAGATTTAGAGTTTATAACATTATTAAAAGTTTATTGTTGTAATTATTTTTTAAATCACTCACCACTTTGAGTTCTGGTACGGTTCGACTCAGCGTCCACTCCTGACTGTTCACGAAGGCATCTAAAAAACACACACACAGGTAACAACACACCTGTCAATCAAACTGAAGAAGAACATGTGATGCATTCAGGTGCAATCCAGTAAACAAGAGAAGTCACAGATTCAGAAGAGACAATCGCTCTGCTTGTAACACTTTGAGACCTTGAAGGAGGAGGTCATGGGAAGTGAGGGGGGGGACGTTCCTCTCACACACACACACACACACACACACACACACACACACACACACACTCTTCAGATATGGACGTGTGTGTGTTATTTCAAAGTGATAGTGTCAGAACTATCAGGGAGGTCTCATCCTTCTTTCAGGACATTTGAACGTCAGCTCTGCAGCTTCTTCTGACACATTTCTGGGAAGTTTCCGTTCTTGACCGTTCAGTTTTAAGAGGCTTAAAAAACCCTTAAAAACTAAAAGTAAAAGTACGAAGGATCTGTGGTACTCTGGGTTTGGGACTGAAACTCAAACTGTCATAAATACTGAATGTTTTCAGACGACAATGAGCCCAAAGGAGCCCCAAGGATCTCAGAAACATCTGATGAGCGCTGGACACTTCAGAGGAACTCTTCAACCTCTTTATTAACCTCCTTCACCACCCACACATGAATATGGGTCACCCGTCTCCACACAGACGCCATTAACCCGTCCGTCTCTGCCACACCTCGACCTCGGAGAGATAACTAGGCCACTGGGCCGAGTCCACTTAGAGCCGTCAGCGGGTCTTTATTTATTCATCAGCAGCAATCTGTGTCGGCCTGCAGACGCTAAAAGCATCCCACAATGACCACGTGTAAAAACGTGCTCTCTGAAGACGTCTCAGAAAGGACGTCCACGTTGCATATTTAACCATTTAAAGACTTCAAAGACGGTTTTCTCGGTCTTCGTGTGAACTCATGCTGAAGGTTCGATAACGTTTAACGACCAGCAGAAATCAGAGATGCACAGAAACTAACAGCTGTTGAGTTTTCATCCAGACGTTGCTCGGATACAGACGAATAATAAAATTCAACAATTTCAGCTGCCAGTGTGTGTGTGTGTGTGTGTGTGTGTGTGTGTGTGTGTGTGTGTGTGTGTGTGTGTGTGTGTGTGGCTGGTATCTGTCTGCATGGAAAGAATCCACAGAGCAGCGTTCTGATTGGCCGACACACACACACAGAGGGTCATTGTTGAGCCATTTTTTTTTTTTAACAAGCGGCGTTCTGTGTCTCTGCAGGCAGGATGTTGATCCAGCTGCTTCCTGTTTTCAGGAGGCCCTCCAGTTCCCGTCTCATGATGGTTCCCAGTTTACCCAGTTTACCCAGCGACAGGGAGGGACGGGCCGCCTCGCCAGGTGAACCCCCGTCAGCGTGGTAAGAGTGAGACGGTTTCATGAGGTTTAGAAGTCTTCAGCGTTAAATTAAAGGTGAATCATGGAGTATATTTGGTATGACACAGGTCGGACTTGAACCCTGGTTGCACGCTTTGAGGACTGTGGCCTCTGTACATAACGTGCACACGCTAACCACTAGGCCACCAGCGCCCCAACGTGAAGTCTTTTAACAACACTGTCCAGCAGGCGATGCTTTATCGTCTGTTCTTAAACTTTTGCTGACTCGGTGCAGAGAAGGAATCTCTCGCCAAATCAAGCAGCCTCATCGTCCAATCACTGAAGAGGAAACTTCCCGCCAATTTAATTCTTGTTCATCTAAGATTTAAAGAAAATCCTGAAGAAGACGACGGGAAGAAGGGAGAGAAAATGAGGACGAGAGAAACAGATGGAGCGAAACAGATGGAGAGAAAAAGGATGGAGAGCTGTTCCCCTTCGTCATCGCTCGGGGAGGGAAAACTTAGAAATGAGAGCGAGCGCCGAGGGACAGAAAACACTCCTCCATCACTCTGCGCCAACACCGAGCTGCAGGAGGATGAGGAGAGAAAGAGGAGGAAGAGGAGGAGAAAGAGAAGGAAGAGGAGAGAAAGAGGAGGATGGATGAGAGAAAGAGGGAGGAAGGATCCAAAGTGAAGCGTCAGGACTCGTGGCGCTCCAGAATAACCTCCATCTTTAATTCTCTTTGATTTCACTCGTTTGTTTCTATTTTTATGTCGGTTCTCCCTCAGAGAGCGGAGAACATGTTGGAGCAGGAGTCTCACTCTGACGATTATCACAGAGACTATCTATGTGGACCGCTGTGTGACGTCATTCTTAACCTCCCGTCGTTTTAATAACTGCCATACCCGTGCAGCACGGGCCCGTTTCAGGGCGTTTCAGATATAACAAAAACATCCACAGTTAGCAGGATGGACTCGCGAGTGGTTGCCATGGTTACTTCTTCTTTCTGCTTTTTAAAAAAAAAAAATCTGACATTTCTGAATCTTACAAAAAGGTTGAAGATCTGAAGATCCACTGATGTATAAAACCTTAAATGTAAGACCTCTAAAGGGAACCTGGAGGAGGACTTAGAGGAGCGTTTAAAGATGGCCACCCCTCCTTGTGCTTCAGTATATACTACTTTTTGTCATTACACCCGTTAACCAACGACGATCTGACCGACCCTCCTCTGACCATCGAGAGGAGATCAGATCCTGACTTCAGTCCAAAGTCCTCAAGGTTAAACACCGGCGATTAAAGAAGATACAAAAACCTGAAGAAGAAGAGCACAACCAGCCATGAAGCTCTCAGAGCCAGCTGCAGGAGTGTTTGCAGAGCGTGTGTTTACATGACGGCAGCTGGAGGACAGAAACACAAACGTCCAAGTCACAACAGGAAGAGACACGATAACAACGAGGACTACATGTCTGAGCTGAGAGTGTGAGGAACACCACGATCACTTCAAGATGATTCTAAGAACAGAGCGATAAGGTCTCAGGATAACACACACAGAGGACAGCAGAGCATCATGGGTACCCCTGTGCCCGACCCCTGAGTCCGACCTCTGGTTGAGTGTTTTAAGTGTTGATATAAAGCAGAGAACTCATCTGTCAGCGATTCCTCAGAAGAAGAACTTAAACCTGCTCGTCTGCTTTTCTTCTTTGTCTGCGACCAGCAGGTGTAAACATGACGTCCAGATGTTTACAACATGAGATCAGACTGATCAGAGGGAACGTGTCCGACAGGTCACCTGGATCACAGCAGGTAAAGAAACATGTGGTATTCAGATACTTCTCATGCACACTGACTGACATCATGATGACATCATTGACCTTCTTGCCAAACCCCAGACGTGCGCTCTGAAGCATGCTGGGAATCCCAGCGTGCTCGCTGACACAAACTGGTTCTTACTAAAGTTAGAAGGTAAACACGACAGACAGGAGACGCCTCTGAGCTGAAACAACACACACACACACATTAAACTGTATTATCCAGGATCTTCTCCGCTAAGCTAAATTAATATCACGTCCTTTATTCTCGTGCTCACCTTTCACACATGTTCTGACTCACGCGGAGATTTCTGCAGGACAAAGAACAACATGTGCACGCCATCATACTGCCCCCTTTAATGTGCGAGGAGCGAGGAGGGAGGAGAGAGGAGTGAGGAGCGAGGAGATGGTGTGTCTGATGGAGAGTAGCAGAGGGGACTCTTCTTCAGGGGGTTTGAAGATAAACGTCGACCTTGGCATCCTGAACTCCGATGACTAAAACACGGTGTAAATATTTCAGACAGTTTAGGAATGTGACTGTTCAAAATGTTTGTGTGACATCTTCAAACTGCTGAACATGTCAGAGACAAACACGCTCAGAGAGTTTGAACGCAGCGTGGAGTAACATCTGACTGCTGCGTGGAGGACACAGAGCGTTTACACCAATCACCCTCAGAGCTCGCCGTCTGATCGGATTCTCTCCGTGTGCGGGAGAAGCCGAGCATGTTCTCTCTCAGTTTGTTTGTACCTCGCTGCCCACCAACCCACCAACACTCGTAAACACACACACACACACACACACACACACACACACACACACACACACACACACAGAGAGTTTGCATATCGGGCGTCGACACACTCTCATGTCAGTTCTGCAGATTCCTGCGGTTCAGCTCTTCTTCTGTGGTGTTGTGTAAGCAGCAGGCCTCACATGGAGCGTTGACAAACAAGCAGAGCGGCTCAGAGAGAATAACTGAAATCATGAAGACGTCCTCGAGACTCTCAACAATTTGAAGCAGCGGGGTCAATTTGTGGTTAAGTGTCTTGCCCGAGGACACATCGCACATCGGAGCTGGGGATCGAACCCCGACCTTCCGGTTGAGAGACGACTTTACCACTGAGCCACAGCCGATAACTGATACTGAGACTAAACTGTTTACTGTTTAGTTAAAGTTTGAATGCAGCTTTAAGGGGAGGAGCTTGTGGGAATCTAACCGTCAACACAGACTACTTTCCTGACGGTTTTGGTCCCGCCATGATCCCAACTGCAGGTCAAACAAACACACACACACACACACACACACACAGCTGCAGGGGGAAGCGGCCCCACAGAATAGATGATCTGTGGTTCAGACACACACACACTCGCTCACAAAGAGGGATCATGATGGGTGGAGCGTGGCTGTTTGTTCCCTCAGGGCAGGGTGTCGTGTGTGTGTGTGTGTGTGTGTGTGTGTGTGTGTGTGTGTGTGGTGGGGGTTAACTCGCCGTCTGACTGTGACGAATCAGAGCCTGCTGCCTCATCAGTCACACGTGGCTTCTTGTTATCTCACCCTTGACCTCTCTCTCTCTGTCTGTCACTCATCATCAGATTTATTTCTTGTATTTCTTAACTTGGTGTTTACGAGTACAGGGAGGGGGGGGGGAGTGTGACAGTCTTGCGCTGTTTACATCTAAACTTTAAATCTAATGTCAGTGTGCGTTAGAGCTGCTGCAGTATGAATTATGGCTCCTGATATGAACACATCCTCATGGAAGTATGTTGTTGTTTCAGTGTGTGTGTGTGTGTGTGTGTGTGTGTGGTTGATGAGTTCGTGTGTTCACTGCTGACCAATAAAGCTTCTTTTGAATTTAAACCCTCCTCATCAGTCAGGCGATGATGACA